TTGATGGAGGTGTGGCAGTGCGTAACTGCGACTAGTTAATCTGCTAACGTGAGGAAATACTACTTGAATAGAGGGATCTTGTAGAGGTAGCTACCACCCAACGAGATCAACTGCAACTATTCAAGACGAGTGCAAAGTAAATGCAAAGTTCGCTTCTTAGTAATTCATAATCTGTGTTGTGAGCTTTGATTGATGCGATCAGTAAAGCTAGTTCGTAGCGAGTTAGATCAATGCATCGTGGTAGTTGATCTTGATTCATACGGAAGTCAACGTGGTATCTGCGGGAAACGGTTCGTTGGCAGGATGCTTTACTCCTGTCGAATACTCCAATTTACCGTGTCCTTTGGTTTCGTTGAGAACGTGTTCTTGCCAGCGTTCTCTGTTCCATCGTGTTGACCCATAAAGCATGACTCAATCTACTCACGGATACTCTGAGTCGTGGGAGGAACTGTAACGCTTTCAATACCTATAGGGGAAGCCTGATTCATCCACAAGCCAAAGCTTCTTGTCGAACTCTCGCAGGTACTGTTGGATTGGATGAAGGCCATCTTTCTTGGCTACTTGTGGCTGCTGCTGCTGCCCACAAAATATTGGGAAGATGGATGGTGCAGGGGTAGACATGTTGCCTCAAACAACAACAACAACAACAACAAACAACCTCTTCAATAGTACTATCTTCAATGCCTCCTCTTCAATGCCTTCAATGCAATGAGTCCTCAGTCTCTGTAGAGGTGCGAGACGATAGAGGTGCGACGGGATGGATCGATAGAGGTACGTCGAGGTACATCGTACGTCGATAGAGGTACGTCAATAGAGGTACGTACGCACAATTCGACTCATTCGATTCGACTCATTCGATTCGACTCATTCAATTCGACTCATTCGATTCGATCGCGCGCGGTGTGCGCGAATGACGTCATTCGAATGACGTCAGTGGATCGCGCGGTGCGCACCTCTACGGCACATCCTACGGCACGTACGTATGTAGTGTGCCGTAGGCGTGCGGTAGCTGTGTAGGATTTGTACGGCACGCTACAGAGGTAGTATAGTACTGTATTTGCTATAGTAAACATGACTAATCGGTCCTCCTTCTTCGTGGTACAACCAGGGAGCCTTCAAGCAATTAGTACACTCCGTCCTCCAGTTAGAGTAAGGATCCCCAGGCCTGTGGTTCGACTCCTGATAATGGTCTCCAGGACTTAACCTCTACCTGGTTGAGAAGCTAACATTGTTCCGGAACGTTCTCTAGAGTATGCCTAGTTAATTAATACAGTCCTCCTTATCGTTTAACAAGTCTGCAGAGACATCGCTGCAGGGCTCCAAGGTGGAATACGACAATTAAGTAAGGGTACCCCGTGAGTACCCCTCAGCTCCGTACGCACCACCGTGACTGAGTATGGCGAACAACTAGCGAAAAACGCCTAAGTCCTTCAGAAATGGCTCTCCACCATCGTTCGTGAGTTAAAGCGAAGAACACGTACTAGCACAACCACTCCGTACTAGTACACGACAGTCAGTACCCCTACGTATGCAAGATGGCGCATCAGTCGCTTCCCTTGCATTCCGCCCAAAGAACACTATTCTTCACACCGTACGGTAGTATCACTCGTAAGATCGCTCCACCATAGTCCTAGGAATTCTTCGAGGTTCCGGGGGAGTGTGTCCCATCGAGTTAGAGAACATGTACCTCCACACTGACGTCAGTATCTTTTACGTACCTCTACTGACGTACTCGAAGAACCCTTCCAATGATCTCGAAGGCTAGCGCTTGAGTACAGGCAGCGCTAAAGCGTAAATAAATACCTGCATACACACCAGTACGTGCGAATTAGTGCTGGGTGTCATCAACTGCTCGAACTCGGGAGTTATCTCGTTTAACCTGCAGAGTTGTTCGGCAATGGGGGAGTGATGAAATGTGGTATATATACCACAGAAATTGCCTCTCAGATACCGAGACCAACATGACATATTTGTAAGATAATTACGAATTCATAGAATATCACCGGGTAATTTTCCTTTGTCGGGACGGTCCTGAAGCTCCCCTTTGTTCTTTCCTTTCGTGATCTTCACCTTTGGCAAGCCATCGGTTTGATTGTTGATTTTGTAGTTGGCGTTGCTCCACTGCAAGTCGGCACGGATGGACGAATCGTCATCACAGCACAAATGCCGCATGATGACTTTGGAGTCCAGAAACAGATCAACGGCGAGCTCCAAAGCCAGCACGGCTTCCATTGACCCTGACGAATCCTTTGGATCGTGACTCTTGGTGCAATAATGTTCTTGTACCGGTGGACGGTCATCAGGCTCGGTATCAGCGTGTTTCTTGGCCCAAGCTTCACATTGCCCGCAAACTTTGCTCTTGATGCCGAACGAAAGGATTTTTCTCGTAAGGGCACCGACGATAGCACCGTGATCTGAAACAGAGTTCCTCAAATGGCTGGATCCTTTCTGTTGCCACGCCATGTCATATCCTCCGTCAACAAATGGGATTTTTTCCTGGAGTAACGTGCCATTGGGATCGTTCAACGCGGCCATCCAATCAAGGAAATCTTGCTCATTCGGCGTCGATTTGCGCACCTCCTCTATTAGATTTTCACAGACGACTTCATCCTTCAATTCAAGAATCGCAGGAGCAATTCGTTCCTCAATCATGCGGAACGAACGCGATTTCATGGTGGTGTCATTCGGCATGCCCAAAAGACCGAGGATTTTGGCGGCTTCGGTTCCACCGTTGCCATTCGCAATATTGACCAAAGTAAACAATACGTTGATTGCATAGTCCGTGCTTCCTTCGACCTTGTCGTTGCCACCATGCATTGTCGTCAATTGATCAATTTCGAGTAAGACTCTTTCGTGAGGCTTCGTGTTGAATTTGGTCCCATTGTTTGTCTCTTCATTTTCCTCTTTGGTGGTGACTTCGTCCATGGCAGGATCTTCAACAAACTCTGGTGCCGTTGGATCATTAATCTCCTCCCCATACTCCTGTCGATTGTAATTTGGCCTTCCTGCGCCATTGTGCCTTGTCCTGGTCGTAACATGAGCGGATCCGGCAAGATTCCAATCTCCATCCTTGGATACTAGCTTTGAAGTCTTGATGGAAGCATTTGCCTTCCAATGGCGTCCAGTACTGCCACCAGGGCTGGTGCTGGTACGGGTGGTAGTCGGTGTCACTACAGGTGGTAACATTGCGTCGAGCTGCGCTTATTCAACGAATCGAATCCATTCGAGGTGCTCTATGTTTGTCGGCATTCCTGTCAATGGCATATTCACAGGGAAAGAACATTGAAATTTGGCGCTAACACGATAGGTCGACTGGCTCTTACATGTATGAAAGGCTTAGAGGGAAGCTAGGATAGGTGCGCGAAAGCTAGAATTTATGGCTCGAACCATACTACATGGAATTTGACCCTATCCGGTGAGAGTACGAACGTTGAAGATGCCAAATTCCGTAATTTATACAAAACATATGTGCGAAACAAACGTCGGTACGTAGGCAGACTGTGGCTGGCTTACAGCTCATGGCCCGACACCTTAATAATAGTCATTAGCTATGCGAGTGGACAACATCTATAAGTACTGGTATATGTAATCGGTTACGGACTGAGTCACTCCTGTGAATGAGCAGGTGCGTGAACACAGTTCTAAGGTTCTATGAAGTTCCACTATAGGTTCTACCGGTATGAAGTTCCAGAGCATCAGAGCATCACTTACTAGTTACGACTTTTCAAAAATACATCTTACTCATCAATGACAATGCTGCTCTATTCTAATGATCAGAACATACTATCTCTACTTAAAAAAGAAGCCATCAAGAACCCATGTCAGCTTTTTTACCTTAGCTTCCGCTTTCTGCAGAAGTAAGGCCTCAGCACCGGCCGTCTTCACCTGTTCCCCCTTTATAACAGAGTGCGGTTTTTCATCTTTGCGCGATCACAGGCTTGTCTTGCCTTTGTGACATTCCAGTTTTGTAAATCTACTTCCAAAGAAAGCCCAATCTTTGAGATTTTCTCTTTCACAGCTTCCAAGCTCAACATCTTGGGCATCGTTGTCACTTGTAAACGAAATGGAGAATTGGGATTCTCCTCAGGTACAACAACAACATGTCGGAACCATCCATCATGTGGGTTGGCTCCCGCTTTTTCAAGGCCTTCTCGGCAGCAGCCTTGTACTCTAGAATCTTCACTGGATGGAAAGAATGAGTATTGCCGATCGTGTCTTGCATTACCAGCACATACCAATGACCTTCAAGTTTGCAAACAACAACCATGTCAATGACATCCCATTGGTCACTTTTAGGATCAATCACAACACATTTAACGCCATCAACACAAGCTGCGATAGTTTTTTCAAATGATTCTAAGTCAGTCTTCATTTCACACTCTCTATTCTCGCATTTTGGAAGAACAGCGAAACTCGTTGTTCTCTGTCCTCGTGAGCACAAAGTGAGCAAATCGCTCAAATGCTAGTCCATTTGCTCCAGGAAGAGTGAAAACTCCTTTGCAGAATTGAAGAATATCCTCTGCTTTCTTGTTTCCAAGATGTTTGAAAAAGTCCATCTCAGCTCGCCTGCTACAAAATTTGTAACACCGGTGCTGGAAGGGATCTTTCTCAATCGCCAGGGGGGAAGGGAACACAAGCCAGCTAGGGGGTGCCAGGGATTTTTCAGTCTCTGCGCCTGGGCACACTCTCTCCAACATTTCATGAACCACATAGGGGCCTTGGGTAATGATCTCATTTGAAAGGTTGCCCAATTCATTCCTAAATTCAGTTTCAGAAGCCTCCACAGCGGCATCTTCGCCTTGCTCTCGGAATTTGTCGCAATACTTTTTGAACCTGCGAGGACTTCCACCCCAAAGTTGAAATAAGCGTCTGATGAAACTCCGAAACTCTTCTTTTTCTCTTTGACGTGGGACCGCTGTGAGCATGGTAAGTCAGAGCAGTACTCAACATGACAAACAACAACAACATTCACCATAACCAGTCAGATGAGCATGACTACGATCAGACTTACCACTCATGGCTTCAATGTACAGGGAATCCATCACCTCTTCAAGTTCATTCCAATCCCAGGCCGGCATCCAAAAGTGTAATATTTTTCCACCGCCCGGAGTACCTTCCATATGCAATACACGGCTCTTAGCCTTATTCGCGACTCGATCCTAGATAGGGTTTGAGTTCGACTCATGACTGAGTCTCTCGTGAATAGTTATTGAGACAGGGTTCTCATGACCGCTCTATCATACTAGGTTGATGATGAAACATCGCTCTAGATATTTAGCCAGCGTGAGTATTCCGCTACTAGATCCATGCCAGACAATCTTCCAGCGTTCCCGTTTTAGATGTGGGATACGTAGGATTACACCGCAACCTACTCTATCACACTTTATAGTTCTCCCGCGGGAGTTCAGACTCTACGATCCTTTGATGGTGATCTCTCTCGTTGATTAGTTTCATAGCTTTCTAATCTCTCTCATAACTTTGCATTCTCTCAACTCAAACATCGAAAGATCTTTACACTAGCTTTTAGCGTAGTGCATTTTGTTAACAAACCAATAGCTTTCAGCTACCCTCAACCTATTCTTCACCATGAAGATTGCTAAGGAAAGCATTGCGTTCACCAACTTCGAGAAACAGTTGCGTGACAAACCCATTCTTTCCTCGTCGACAATGACGAAGACACGAGATCGACGATTCTGTGCAACCACCTACAAACTTGGCACCGTTCCTGCAGATGCAAACAGTGCAAAATACACCTTCAAGGTAGCATCATCAATGGTTCCAAGCATCCACGATCAAGACCATCAAGAGGGCTGACGAATATGGAGAAGATCTTCGTTGGACTCAACCTTGCTAGTCCCGACGACAAAATCGGCTTCTCAAGGAGATAGACTTCCAGCTCTGCGAAACAGTGCCTACGAAGTTGGGTGTGCAGGCCATCGTGGCCGTCGTCATAACTGCCCTACGAAAAATTGCTGTGAAACGCATTCCTCCACGCGATGTGATTTCTGGAGAAACCGAAGTATCCTTCCAGGCTCGTGTCCAGCCGATGGGACGGTGCAGCTGGAACGCCGCTCTAAGCGATGTCTGACATCACCTTTGGAATCAACGCGTCTGCCACCGGTTATCCGAGAGGCAGCCTGTCCACAGAGAGCTTCACGAAACAACAGATAACGCTTCAGCGCGTTGCAAGATGCTATAGGCCTGATAGTGAATGATACTAATCGGCTACAAAAACCTCAGTCGATGAATACCGGATGAGCTGTGAACCACGTTGCCACCCTTTCGGTGTCAATCAACAGTTGAACCAGGACGAATTCATTGACATTCATCTGTCATGGCATTCTCGTTCCCTGGATGCGCAAATGACGAACACGACTCGATCCTTTCACTGCCGAGATGACAGCTCTCATTGGATTCTGTGAGCCAATGAATCTGCTGAGACTTTGACAGAGGCAGTTGCGATAATACCAATTGGTACTGATTACATCTAACGATCTAAGAGAGTAAAGGTTTGTATTTCAAATTAAGTGAGCAGTTATTGATTTTTCTAGAATTGAGCCTGCTAATTTGTAAAGTCTGTATAGCTGAATTTTGAGCTGTAATCCGCGTCGCACTCCCTTACAGCTGAAAATGAAGCTGAGAGCAAGAAAACGATAGGCAGAGAGTCCCCAGAAAGTGCTAAGAGATAAATTACCATCCCATGAGGAGCTTCCGAATGACAGCAAACTGTGGGCCCGAAGACCCTTAGTGAAAATGTCGGCTCGTTGTTCAGAGTCGGAATATACTTAGCCACGATGTCCTTCGACTCCCCGATATTGGACCTGAAGAAGTGTACTTCAATGCGCAGCAAATACTTGGTTCGTCGCAGACATTTTGGAACATTCACAAGAGACAGCAACCCTGGTTGTCTTCGAAAACTGTAGAGCGCACGAGACTGTCAAGTAATTACCGGTCATATCAGTTTGCTTACCTATTTCTTTGAGCAAAGCTTGTTGGGTAGGCAACACTGTAGCTACTGTGCTAATATCAAGTTAATTGTTGATTTGGGCGAGGTGGGCGAAAGAATGATCTTTCTGCAGGTTGCTCTGAAATCTGGATTCTGAGAATGCAGTTTCCTTAAATTCTTACGTCGGTGCGGTCTTTTCCTTATCCGGGTCCGCTAAAAATCTAGACCGGCCAACACACTCCTGCCGTGGTCCCAATAGGAATCCACGGAACGATAAAAATAAACTAAATAGGAGGATGCCGCATAATAAAAGCGCGATGCGCAGTGGAATAGGGCACCTTGAGGGGCTTCGTGAGAAAGTCCCGTGCATACTCCTGGTGTGGGACATATACACCACTCGTACATTTCTCCTGCTTCACTTGAGTCGTGAATAAAGAAGAAACGCACATTCAGAGCACGAGTACGCTTACCGGCGCTGCTCTTACCATTCTCAAGCGAGAATGATGCACTCTTGTTGTCCTGGTAAAGGATGTCTCCTGGACATCGACACCTTGGGCTTGCCAAAAACAACTTGGTCCACAACAAAGGCCTCATAACATCGTCAGCTCCAATGAGTTCAGCGTCGGTACTGCTTGGGCGTTGAGCTTTTGCTTGCTAGAACAGCAAATTGTGTGGCACCGCGGCCGAAACTGACGCACTCCTCGGTATGGAACGGTAGTCTGGGTGTACAGCAAAACTGGCATCCACCAACCAGCGAATAATGCGAAGTCGTCAGCATGGAGGATGAGCTTGTCATTCAAAGTCTAGTTGAATAAACTTTAGGCATTGGAGGAGTTTTGCCCAATCGTTCTGGTTCGGTTGGTTGGCTTCACTCGAGTACAAAGGACGGTAGTCAGGGTTTGCATATCTGGACGTGCACGCTTACAGGCAAAGGAGTAGCTTGGCTGTGTTCGTGTGGAAGGTATCCTTCGTATCAGGGTCCAGATTGTCACCGTCACCACAGAAACAAATCAGCTGGGGCTGCACTCGGAACAGAACGGACATGTTCAAAGTTTACAGGGAACTCCTCGAGCACCTTGGTCAAAAATCGATCATGTAATCTTGACCTTGCCCGGTCAGAAAAATCAATCGTCATCCCTAGATAGTCTGCTTGGGTCCTCTGGTTGCTTTGACAGCACCGTAGGTACATACTTCTCGTTGCACCAGGCCAGGAAGTCGTCATTCACCTTGGCCATCATATGACTTGACATGAGGTCGTCGACATGGAACGGATAGTCTGTTGCTTGCCATGACCATCCTGTTGGCAAACAAGGATCGTAGGGGTTAATCGAAACCAATAGACCCAAATCCTTGCGGATGCCTTGTACCAAAGTAGACTTGCAATGAGAATTCCATAAGTGCCTTCATACCACAACGTAGAGGATAGGTTCTCCCCTTCCATAGACAAGGAACGGCTTGTAAGTGTCAGGGTCGATTTCCTACAAGTAGCTCTGCGAGATACCTTCGATCTTCATGATACCCTGTCACCACCATCCTTGGGTTG